CAATCTTGGCAGAGTCAAAATGCGTCAACAAATCACGTGTACACTGGTTGTGACGTGGTTCGAGATGCGTTTTCACAACGTTGCAATTCTTGTATAAAATAATAAGAGGAATAATGATAAAAGCGGTTTAAAAGCTAAATTTGCATATAAGTTCTTAATTATTTAAAAAAATCAGATAAATAAGCCAAATATAATAGTTGAGCGACCGTGCTAGAACCACGGAACTCGGGAATGCCTAATACCTTCTCCCGGGTTAACAGAATTCCTTATCCGGATTTCTGGTTCGCAGATTGTAATACAGAGTCATTCTTTTCCTCGATTCGGGATTAAAATTGGCGACTTGGGACACCCTAAATCTCCCAAGTGGCGACTCTGAAATAATTAAATAAATCTCGTTTCGATTGTCCTTTAATTGGAAAAAACTCCATCGTACCCTCGCGGTGCCGGAAAAAGCAGGTGTGACAGTGGGTCCGGGGGTCGGGTTTTGGTTAATTTCGGGATTTATGTTGTAATTTGATTATTTTCGCATGGGCTTCGTTCCCTTAGCATATTTTGACATCATGATTCTGATTTTGGATAGATTCAACGCGAGTTGAGGCCGATTCGAGGGGCAAAGGCATCGCGGGCTAGAGTTTGGACCGGATTGAGGTGAATAATGATTGTAAATGTTGTCTTGAGGGTATGAAACCCCTAATTTCACATCGTTGTGCTATTTCGAGGTGACACACGTGTTAGATGACGAGTGTGGGATCGTGCACTATTGGGGATTGTGACTTAGTCCGTCCCGAATGATTGTTTTACTACGTATTTGATTGAAAACTGTTTGCTATCATCATGTTTTGGGCTAAATGCCATATTTGGGCCGTGTGCCAACTCTTTTAGACTCTTAGGGGATTTTTACTACTATTTCTTACTATTTTGACTTTATATTTATACTCAGTCATGCTATATTTTTTTTTTTACTATTTTCATAACTCATACATGTTTACTCTGTTTTGACATCTTAAATGATATTTTGAGCTGAGCATCATATTTTAGTGTGCCCGAGTGGCTTTTAGAGATTTCTGACTGAGTAGGGCCGAGAGCCTATGTTGTGAGGCTAATATGGGATCGGGCTGCACGCCGCAACGATATTGTGATGATTCATGATTATGAGGCCGAAGGCCTGAATTGTATGCCACAAGGTGGCTTGATATGAGGTCGAGAGCCTGTTGATTATACCACGAGATGACTTGTTATTGGCTTGGGCCGTAAGGGGCGCCTCCCGGAGTCTGTACATCCCCAGTGAGTGCGGGTACCCAGTATGAAATGTGATATATCCCGAGGGGCTGATGTTATTCCATGTTATCACCAGAGAGGCTGATACGAGTGATTGTGAGATAGCCCGAGGGGCTGATTCTGTCGGTACTTTGCCCGAGGGACTGGTTTTATATGTTTACCTTTTCTCACTACTTTTTCACTCACTCGTTTAACTATTAAAAGATGTTTTAAAGAAGTTTATACTGAACTAAGGTGTTTTTATAAGATTTCACTATTTTATTGCATCGTATTGGTTATACACTGCCTCTTTGTAGCATTTTGTTGTGTTTTACATATTTTCTTATCGCTCAGCTACTTTTACTTTTATTACTCACTGAGTTGGCGTACTCATATGACTCCCTGCACCCTGTGTGCAGATTCAGGAGCTTCGGGTCTCGCTAGCAAGGGCTGATTGCTTCCAGCAGGCTGTTCGGAGTTCACTAGGTAGCTGCTCGGCGTTCGCAGCCCAGTGTTTCTCCTTCCTATCTTTATTTTTCCTTGTACTAGCCTTGTACTAGACTGTGTAGACTTTTAGAACTCTTAGATGGATATTTTAGATGCTCATGACTGGTGACACCCCGATGTCGGACTGTGTTTTATTTCGTACTTGTTCTATTTCACTTTATTTTTTGTATTTATCACTTATTAATGGCCTAATTATGAAATAAATAACTGTTAATTGGTATTGGGGGTTTGTGTCGGTTGGCCTTGTTTCACGATAGGCAACATCACGACCGAGTCCAGATTTAGGGTCGTGACATGTTGTATCCTGGGGGAGACAAGTCTAGAAGATTACTGCTGGGCTAGTGAAGACTTTGCTGCAGTGGGCTTGAATCTCCTTAAAGAGAGCGAAATATTCGCGCCTCAGCCTGGATTTTTTTTATTTTTTTCATTTTAGTTTTCAACTGTAATTGTATTTTCAGCAACACTTTTCATAGCTACAATAAATGTTCAATTTACCTATCATAGCTATATATCAAATACATAGAGTTATTCTACTGTATCAATCTTTTTTCCAAACCCTCTCTCTTCCTCTTCTCCCTCAACTCTCTCTCATTCTTATATCTCTCTCCTCCCTCTTCCAGTCGCATATCCAACTTCATCGCCACCCGCCGCTGTCCAGCAAGCAGTAACAATAGAGAAGTCACCGCTGGTCATCTTCTTCAGCGAAGCTCTATCGGAGCCCAACCAAACAACCGCCTCCCTTCATCATGAATCAACCTTAAACACCATCGCCATCCATCGTCAAATCCAGATTTGAAACCACAAAGTTATGATCATTCCATTACCGGTGGCGAAAATAATGGTGGAGGAAGATCGGAGGTGTAACCGGATCTAGATCTGACGGAGATGCCAGAATCCATGACTTTTTACCCTTCTATGTATCTCACATCTGAGTGTATTCATCTGGCCAGAAACTTATTCCTCCACCACTGCTTTTCATGCCGGAAAAAGGAGCCTCCTCTTTCTCATCCACTACGTCCCACGCTAGAAAATTATTGTATAAATACAACGTATTTTGTATTTCGTCGGATATCTAAAGTGTATTATATATTTTTGCCGAAGATCCGACGGGACTTGATTGTATTCTCCATTTTTAAATACAATGTATTTTGTATTCTCGTCGGAGGTTTGACTGTATTCTTTATTTTTTTAAATCAAAAAAGTATATTTTTAAAAGAATCTGAAAATATTCTTTATTTTCTTAGTGTAAATATAGTGGTGCTTTGTATTTCTCTAGAGATCCGATCGGGTTTGATTGTATTCTCCTTTTTAAATACTTTTTATATTTTTGCCGGAGATTTGACCGTATTTGACTGTATTCTTCATTTCGTCACTTTTTTTAATGTAAATACATTTAAATAGAGTCCAATACATTCAATCTTGCGATATCAAATAAGGTTGGATACAACTGAATAATATATTCAAACACACTCAAATACACGGGGAAAAAATAAAATAAAAAATAAAACTACAGCTGAATAGTGTATTCAAATACCCTCAAATACAGTGAACTATCCCAAACTAGCCACAAAATATAACTATATAAAATGTAGCTACGGAATGTTAAAAGAGGATTTGGCATTGCATAACAACTTAGTCCAATAATTGGCAGAAAATGGCCTATCTTTTAGCATTTGGCACACGTAGCCTAAATTTAAAATTTAATGATCTTCTCTCTCTTCTACTGGTCCAACCATCACCCTAAAAATAGGCTTTTATTTCTTTTTCGTTAAGATTCAAAAATCTTTCAAGATTTTCTCCCGAATCTCTACAATTTTTTTCTATGTTTTTAAATTATTTCTCACGAGCATTAAAAATGTTAAAAATTATAAATATAATTTGTATATCATAGTGTATAACACAAAACTAATTATATTATTTGTATATCACATTGTATAATACATAATAAAACGTGTATAGCAAAATATATATCACAAATTTATTATCCTTCTTTGTATATATTAAAATGTATATCAAAAAATTGATTTCCTTCATGCATATATCAGTGTATAATATATAATTTCTTATGAATACACACATATATATGTTTGGACCTCGAAAAATTGTATGCACATATTAATTGGTCGCTCTATATTAGAGCTTCGCCCCTCCGTACTTGATGGGTAATACTAGAGTTAATCCACCTGCAAAAATTGCTTAATTTGTCGAATTTTATGCACATGTAAACCATAGAGTTAATCCACCATTTTAATCTCATTTGGAATAGGGAGGGAACGGGGAAGGCAGCAAACAAGAAGGGGGAGGGGGACCAGCGAACAATAGAGGGAGGGCTCCAAACGATTAGGAGAATAAATAATAAAATAGAGTAGCTTTTAGAATTTGGTTATATAATGCCCAATTATTTGGGACTAGCTTTGCCAAAATCTAATACAAGGCTAAAAAATTGCCAATTCCCCTTACATGTTGTTATCAGGTGTCATTTTTTCATGTTATAAAAGCTCCTTAAAGGCAGTGGTTTCTGTAAGTTCCTCTTTCGACTTCAATATAACAGGCCCAAGTCCTTGCAAGCCCAACTACCAATTGATTTCGGGGCCCCATATTCACGTTGACACTAACAGATCAGAGTCTTCTTTCTCAGTGGCCGGAAGCTTAGCTTCTGCCCTCGTCGTCGTCTTCTTCAATTCAGGTTTCATATTCAACAGTTTGGTGAAAGTATTACAGTAATAAATCATAGTGAAGTAGTCGCCAGTCGATCTGAAAAATGGAGAACAACGACGTATTAGGATCATCAACTGCACCATTGACGTGGCATGATTTTCTTCAGCGCATGCGTGATCCATCAGCCACCGATTTCGTCAAAGGTATCAAAAGGTACTACCAATCATCCTCTTATAAAGGCCTGTTTCTGTTGGCACCTGGAAAAATAACCTTACAAATGAGAAGAAATTAGCTAGGAGTAAAGTAGACAGATTACTAAATTAGGATAAAAATTACATTTGATAGTCAAATACATAATTTGTGCGCCAAAAGCAACTTAGGAAAATTTAGAAAGATCAAATTAGGCGCTTACTTTGGATAAAAGAATAAATGATTTTGTTAATTGCAAATTTGGATGAATTTGATTGCCCAAGTCAACTTAGGACAGTTAACTGAGGGGAATAAAAGGAAGAGTAGTTACTTATTCTCTTTTATATATTTTGTCCGCTGCAATATTTAAGTTTGATAGTAACTAATTAAATATGTTTGCTTGAAGTATGTGTTAGAAGATATATCTTAATGACTTATAATTATCATCTTAGCATAATATCTCCTCATACTTTTCGTGATTATAAAACACTTAAGTGGATGCATTCATGGGCTTTGGGTTTTCTACTAACTGCCTAAAATCCTAAAATTTATGACTGCAAATTGGATATGTGCATATCTAATAAGTTCAAATTCACATAAACAGCAATGTATGCCCTTTAAAATCAACTAGGACCTAGAAGAGATGTGGGTATCGTATGTCCATTCCAGGGAAAAGGTTATTACTAATTGGAACTTTTTGCAGTTTTATTGTATCATTCTTGAATAATGCTCCAGACGCAGAGAGGGACAGTGCAGCTGTGCAGGAGTTCCTCGGAAATATGGAAACAGCATTCAGAGCTCATTCACTTTGGGCTGGATGTTCTGAGGAGGAGTTAGAGAGTGCTGGTGAAGTGAGTACACTTTATATGTTGAATAAGGCTTTAACATGAATGTTATCAGTCTTGTTTGTCATTTGCATTTCAAATTCTCTCTCCTCAACCTATCGGCTTTCTTCCAACCCCACAAATCAACCCCTAACCCTACAAGCCCCTAGGGCTTTGGATCAATTGTTAGGACACAACTCGGGATGTGCGGCTAGGGTGCACGTCACAAGTTCAAACACTGCTCCTAACAAGAAGCCCGATATTTTAGTGGAACATGATAGAGTAATGAGCTTATAGTCTCCTGACTTTCAAACTTTTGATATCTGCATGCTAATTTTTGAATATACTGAAGGTTCAGCCTGCTCCATGATATTGATAATTATCAAATATCAAATCTTAAAAGCATAAGTAACAGAAGGAAGTTCCACATATATCCTTATCCAAAAAAACAGGTTCCACATATTTCTCAAATATTTCAAACCTTAAAAGATTAAATAACAGAAGGAGTCAAGGAACAGAAGAAATTCAGATTTCCTCAATGTATTTTTTCCCATGTCTGAATTAGATTTTCTATTGGTAATGTGACTAGAAGTACCAAGTAGAATTATCATATATTCCCTTTTATCTCAGCATGCTTACATCTGTCATAAATTTGTCAGTAAAAGTCTCAGGTTATAATTGTATAAATTTGCTCCAACATGTGGACTCAATATATTGTGTCTTATTCATGGATAGCACATCCTTTATACTCGATGCTTGTGTATGGCTGTATGCTGCTTCTCGACTGATCACAAGTTTAGTTTTTTCTGAGCTGTCTATACTTTGTTTGCTCATATTCGTATTATTTTAAACAACAGGGACTTGAGAAGTATGTTATGACAAAGCTATTTACACGTACATTTGCTTCATTTCCTGAAGATGTGAAAGTTGACGAACAGCTTCATGAGAAAATAGCTTTGATTCAACAATTTGTTAGGCCTGAGAACTTGGATATCAAACCAGTATTTGAAAATGAATCATCATGGTTGGTAAGTGAACTCTGTAAAAAGTAAATTTCTGATGAATCATTAATTGATTCTGTTCAAGATATCATGAAATGAATGCAAGTGAAGTGATTTCTCACTTGATTCCGGAAGATGAAATATTCTCACTTGATTACTGCTGTTGGGACTTGGGCCTGTCACTCATATGATGATGATGCATGGGTGAAGTAATAAAATTACCAGCCTTTATATTTCACAGCAAAATGCACTTGTCTTTGCACAGTTTGTTGGTTCATTAGTCAGTACATATACATAATTTTCCCAAACAAATGTTGCGGGCTCACAGTTTTTCTAATTGAAATGTTCTTGTGGTTTATTTTTATATTCTTGTAAAGCCATCTGTTACATCTTTTGCGAGACGTACTTGATCATTCCTCAACTGTAGTGAGTTTCTTTATACACACACACACACGACACACATTGTAATATGCGTGTGCGTGTGTGTATCTTAGTGGGTGTATGTATGGGTTGCTGATGGGAGGAAACAAATTTATGCTCGCAACCAGTTGTTGAAACTTTGGAAGAGTACATGTCTCTGGAGGATTATTACTACATTAGACAGGTTACGGGCTAAGACAAAGCCACATGTAAATTATTCTTTAGGGAAAGGATAAAGTCATATAAGTGTATCTACGCAAAGAGAGTACCTTTTGCTGATTTAGCCTGCTGAACAGGTTTAGTAATCAAATAAAATAGTCTTTTGCACAGCTATCAGTATTATGATAATAACTGATAAACAAAAAAATAGTATGTTCACAAAAATAACCAAGGTAGAGCTAACCTTCTTGTGTTTGTGCATATATTACACCTTGCCAAGTAGTGTGCTCCAGTACTATGAAAATATTCTCTGATTTTTTTTTTATTTGCCAAAAATAAATAAATTCAGAGTATTTTCACAGTATTGGAGCACACTTTTTTTAAAAAATAGAAATGTCCTCTTTATGCAGTCCCTTTGAGTTGTGATCTCGATTAGAATAAGCATAGCTCTTTCACCCCGTCAAAAATAAGCATAGATCTTTCTTGAATGTCATTGTGCAATGAGATGTCTAACTCTTTCACTACATGCTACATTTTGACAGCTAGCGCAGAAGGAGCTTCAAAAGATAAATATGTACAGGGCACCAAGGGACAAACTTGTGTGTATTCTTAATTGTTGCAAGGTTATCAATAACCTCTTGACTTCTGTTTCAGCAAACGAAAACCCTCCAGGAGCTGATGATTTTCTTCCAGTTCTCATATATGTCACCATAAAGGTAAGCTGGCTCATTTGCATTCATGTGATATATTATTCTTCAGACCTGATGGATCCCTTAGGTTGTGAATGATGGTGTTTGGTATGCTCCCAGAAAACTCATCCAGATGAACTTAAGCGAAATATGAAATAAACTTTAAAAGATAGTCTGCCTTTCCATCGCCAATGATCTACAAAAAACATGAATATGTTGCAGTATTTTCTTCTGTCCTTCTGAGAAACAAAATAAGTGTTGTTTATTCTTTTCCTGCAATGGGGATATTTTGGGGGAGCATTATCTTCTGTCCTACTCAGAACTGTTAAGGCTTCAATTTAGCACGTGTTCAATGTTTTTGCTTAGGCATATTATCATTTATCAGAATCTTCCTTTTATATTCCCTTTATTTCTTCTCATTTTCGGACAAAGTATTGCCTTCTCTATCATGATTATCAGACGGAGGATTTTCCAACTGCATATCATCTTGATATTCAACTCCTTAACTCTTTGCTCACCTTCTGTGACTTCCATGTGCTAGTCTACTGTAATGATTTCCCTATAGGGCAGTTGATTTCAGCATTAGAGGCCTAACGGCACCGAGCAAGGTTTGCCTGGACAATGGTCCAGCTTTGGTACATCCTTATAAAAAATAAAAAAACAACAACTTTGGTACATGTATTGGGGAAAGGATTGCTGGAATGCTGGTACGACTAATTAGTTTTGGATTCTTTTGCCCAAGCTGACTAACATGGGAGATTGTAATTCTCTCTGATGAATCAACAGTAGAAACTTTCTTATTTGCTTATGTTGGAATTCATGAATTCAAATGCATCCGAAAGGGAGGCACCCAGATTAGTGGCGGAAGAATCCATTATTGCACCTTTCTCTTTCCTATCATTGTCACCCGCCTTTCATCCCCCAAATAGCTTGTATGTTATTTTTGAATTGGGCTAACATTATATGAATTGTAACATTATAATTCTCCCGCAGAAATTTGAAGGGAAAAAAAGTGAACTTTAATCTCAATAAGATTCTCGACAAATCCTTGAATTGATGAAACATGAGTGGGATATTCCCAGATCCTCGCGCACACCGTCCTTCCAAATCCCCACAGTATAATCTGATTCACAGTCCTCCGTTTATTTTTACTTTCACAATCTCTTCTATTATCATCTGATGCTATTTTTCTGTTATCCCATCTCTGTACCCATGATTACTAGTGTTGTAAATGAGGTTTTAGTTCCTTGTCTATTTAATACTGAAGAATGATCGAAATTCTTTCTGTTCCCGTTATTCTAATTGACCAATTGTACAATTCTTTTTTTGCCCTTGTACTCAGTTTTTAAATTAGCTTTTATTTTTTGTCACAATCAGGCTAACCC